GAACCCTCATCGATAAACTATGACAGCCAACTGCCCTACCCTGTTCCGCTTCCTAAACTCTCCCATTATTCCGGGATAAATATATGTCAATTCACCTCTTTACCTATTCTCAATATCTTTCGATAGCCTATCTGGCTAAATAATCTATCCAAGAGAATGCCACTCCCCACTTTGCAGAGCGAAATTTATTCATTTTTCTACGTTAAGCTCAAAGCTATTCTTCGAGGGTAAATGAGATAAGCTAGAAGCTGACAGTCGTAGTGACTAGGTTCCGAAACTTCTTAAATAATTTAGACAAAATCTGTATTAACTCTAGACTGTACAAGGTGATAGGTGGCTGAATTGACCAACAATTATATCAGCCAGCTTTACAGTGTTCTTGACGTGGAAAGCAAGACTGAGTGAAATGCATTGTTACTGTGAAACTTACTCATTTTATTGTGGTAAAAGTCAAATATCAGTCCTTTATCACCGTATGCGACCTAAGGGAAATAAACTTTTTCTAATGATAGTTAGAATCTCTATGCTTGCTTGTTCGTCCCGATACCAAATTCCTCGAGCTAAGCTTAATACTTAAATCATTTAATTTTTTATCATAAACTAGCTAAAATTTTTAATATATAACTTTTGCTAAACCTTAAGCTTTTTCTGATTCACAAAGTGATCTGATTCTGCCTCTAAATAATTCGGGCAGTTAGGCAATACAGTTTGGAAGCCTAATTTCCTTTTAGATCTGACTTGCCCAATCAATCTTCTTAATGGAATTGTACACAATAAAACGGTCAGTACCTTTTTTCATTTTTAGTACAATCAGAAGAAGCGATATGAGGGCTATGATCTTCTATTTTTTTCCCATATCTATGATTGTCAGGACGGCTTAAAAATAGATGAGCTCGCCTCATACTTATTTGAGTTTTTAAGAAATTGTAATTCTCAACGACTCGAGCAAGTCTTGGCCGATAAGCATGATTTTGAGGAAGGGCCCTTGACTTTTCCCACAAGTGAAATAAACTTCATTGTTAACCACTTTGACCCCTCCCCCCAATGGGATTCGAGACCCGGTGATGCGCGTAAAATGATGCCATGTTGCCATACCACAATACTGTCATGGCTATCACTGGCTAGTAAGGCAGGCCAGGTCTCTCCAAATTCACACTTAGAATGGGATTTGTCGGAAAGGCTTTCATTTTGTGTAAAAATACATGGCGCGATTCGAAGTTCAAACTGACCAGAAGACGATGGCTGAGCTCAGGTTGATGTAGTCCTCGAGACATCATCCCCCATTTCGGGTGAAAAAAGCTGTGCTTTCGTCCATCATACGATGAGATAGGCCTTCGAATCTCTTTACTATACACCTTCATACGAAATGAAAGTTACTCTTCGTATCTAAAGGGGGCATATCTGTAGAAAAGTTGCGTTTCGAGGAATCTCTTGTTTCACAATTGCTCAACAATTGTATTTTAAAGTACACTACACTTCACTACCAGACGCCACAAGGAATGATCTTTAGTCCAGATTTACAACCTTACGGGATCATGATCTCGTTTCCGACGGCCTAGCTCCAACTGGCATTGCAGCCTGCCTCGTAAGTTCCACTTGACACCACTTGGCAAGCCCGTCTCTAGGCCTCGCTTCATGTTGTTAGTCAGCAAAGTCATGGCTACTGTCGGCTTGCTTAAAATAGGCTCGACATGAAGCGACAAGGAAGTGAAAATGAGATGCGGGGCAGACCGGCAAGACCGAAATTGCATCAGATGCGTCCATAAACGTCATTGCCAGCATGACGCTGAGCAGAGCCTTATCTTCTGCCACCACGACCAATCTGACGAGTGACGAAGTGCTCAAGCGGCCTAAGGCCTGGTTGGGGTCAAGAGAAGCCAAATGCTGCACACTCTCTTCTCACTGGCGCAGCTTCGACCCCTTCTTGAGTTCACGCTGCCTTCCGGGGGAACAAGGAAAGGGGTGTAGTTGTCTTCAACAAAGGCCTCACGATGGTCTCGACCATCAAGCAGCAAGAAAGTAATGCAGAGGCTAGAAAAAATGCATCATATGCACACGCACAAGTGAAGTATAACTGGCTACTACGTGACAGATTGGGGCTAAGAGGTAAAATTAATGCAAATCGGTATGTCTAGCATTTAAGTACCAACGCGAAAAAGTGTGGAAGCAACTGTTCTAGATTACCCGGAGCCAGGAGATTCGCATGTATGACTCTCTCCTATGCGGTACCAATTTGTGTCATGCACCCACATAAGTGAGCCTGACAAGAAACCCTTTAAGGGGGACGCCAAGGTTTTTCTACTCGTGAAACGGATATGCATGATGAGGCTTAATGCTGTACAAATAGACTAACATATTTTATTTAGAACTAGTAGCTTCACATTTGTTTGCAGTAAAAGTCGCGTCTGCCACATCATGCATTGGCATACAGGAAAGTCTGACTTAGAAGTATAGTGTGCCATCACTCTTCATTTCAAGGGAAAAGTTGGTTGGAAGGAATTCATGATGTCGTCTCGTCCGAAACCAAAAGAGAATTGCCGCGTCGGGAAGACTGCATTCGTATTGACCCCAATGAATATGTGCTAAACTTTCGTCTGTACTGTGACAAAAATCGTCAGATCAAGAATCCATACCTTACGCAAAAATATACTAAACCAAGATAAAAGGTGGATTTTTATACACCTAACCTTGAGATCTTAATGAGTCATCTCATGATTTTGTTTGTAACTTCGTGAAGTTACTTCACGAATTTGAAGTTCATCCGATAGTAACTGTTTGTTTACACAAATAAACTAGCGTTTCGAACCCCTAAAGTTGACTTTTGTCTCTTCGCACAACACAACAGTCGTCACTACTCGGCAATCCTCCTACTGTTTCCGCTGAGACCACAGCAAGAATTCCTTCCCACCAACTTTTCTTTCGAAATGCCTAGTCATGTCACAATATGTCACTAAGGCATTCCTCAAAACCCACTTTTTCTTCAAAGGCGCACGCTTTTCTAACCCTGTTGGAGTCCAGTTTGGTAGGCAGGGCTGAGAGAAATTCAATGGCGTCGTTAGTTCCAGTTGATGTAATGTCGACAAATTCAATTATGAATGTCTTTCATAGTTGCTTATGCCACGACCTAGAGTCAATTTAGTCCATATATTCACTTATCCTTGGGTCATCCTTCTTATCATGTTTGTATCCGCGACTAGAGACAGATTTTCGAATAAGCTCTGATGCATGAGAAGAAAACCTCGCGACCGACGATTTTTCGAGATCTGCTGTCGTTTACTTTTAATGACATGTCCAGGTTGGTGCAGTTCTGGAATAAGCCTTCTTCCGTACCGGGAGAAGAGGCAGCATGCTAATCCATCATCTGCCACGCAAATCGATAACAGTATCCGAGAGAGTACACATTATTGTAGTAATCTCGATCTCATACCATGTTGAGAAGAGTAAATGATGTATTTAGAACCACCCTCATGGCGAACATCATGAAAGTATCTTTCTGAATATTTCAGTCACGTGGCAGCTGAATGTTTGGCAAGTTTTCACCGGATCATAAAGTGAGTTTCTCAAAGATGGCTTTGACTTTGATGTCCGAGTAAACGAAAATTTTAGCAAATTTCTGAGAATTTTCTTATGGTCTTCTTTCGATGTTTTCTTAGACGAATCTCTTTATAATACACTTCTACCACACTTCATTTGGTTTTTTAGTGAACTCAAAATGGTTTTCGAATTCTCGGATAGTCCGGCCTTAAATTATTTTGATATAACCCAGGATGTACTTTACGTTTGCACCACTGCTTTCCATATTCTAACTCAAACAAGCCCGTTTCACATAACGGAATTAGCTGGGCCGGCTTTCCTTGTAAGTTCTAGAAAAAAAAGTTTTTATTTACTTTACTGAGAAAACATTATTAGGCTGATTCCCAGTTCGCGTAGACGTATGTGATGAAGATGCCGATAGCTACGCCTTGGTCTGACTTTGTCTGATCTTGCAATTAAATACAGGTTAACGTGATCGTCGGGACAATCTTCTGCAGTTCCGGTGAAATGTATTGAACTTTCAGCTCTCTCGACAGGTATTGTTTGAGCAACTTTAAGCAAATACGAGGCCAGACGACTAATCGGTTTAGGACCACTAGCTAGCTAGACTCCCCACTAGTTTACTGAGGGATCATACCTTGGTCTTCATATGTTCCGTTAAAAATATATTAAGCTCATGATGATCTGTAATATTTTCCGTTACATATAAATGCCAAAAAATATTCCTTACACACAATTATACATAAAACATACAAAATTAATAATATACTCATACATACCAACAAACACATCTAGACGCATAGAAACATGAATAACTTCATTTTTCGTTTGTAATTAGGCTTTCGAGACTGTCAATAAATCATATAAATGAGATGTATTGACAATATTTCGTTTAGGCTGATAAGGAGCTAGTGATTAAAATTTCCTATAATGTTATGAGTATACATGGCGTTTCCATTAAATTTCACATAGTCTTGCTTCCCGAAAGGGGTTCTCATCCAGGCAGAAGTGGATTGCATTTTCGACCTCATCCTCAGTGGGACTCGAACCATGATATTTCAGCGTGTGATCTCGACACATCAACCACCATACCACATTGCCGCAAGTGGCCTTGTGCAACAGTAAAATTATCAATTTCAAGAAAGGCCAGACATTTTCCCATATCACATTCCATAGTGGGATTGT